GCTTCATAGCAGGACAAAGCTACGTTCAGACCCCCATGCTCCTCACTAGTTATATGGCCCCGGGCAAGCTCATCACCCTCTCTGAACCATACCTTCCCATTTGTGAAGAGAAGATGGTCATCTCTCACCCAGAGGGCTGAAATGACAGTAACTGAGGAAAGGTTTGTAACATCGCTAGTACAGGGTCTGAGACACAGTAGACAGTCAAAGACAGTTGTTCCTGCTCCCTCTTTCTTGGATCTGCCTTCCGTTTCACTAGTCAGATCCCCATGGTTTTTCTAAAACTTTCCTGGCTGTGAACATCCACTACTGCATTGAGAACTCTCAAGGAGGGGTACAATGTGTAATGATGAATTTCCAGAGACATAAAAGTTATATTATTTTTGTATGCTCGTGTGTAACTATCAATCAATTTTAGAGAAAAGCTGGCTTGCATAGCCGAGTAACACCACCAGCTTTCTTCTTCTCCAGATTGCATTTTATTTTATTAAGAGCAGAACAATGAGCCCGATTTCTCTCCTTGGATACTAAAAAAGACAAATTAGCCAAAAGAAAATTCTGCTGAGACTGTGCTCAGTACTTGAGATCCTGAGCGCCACGATGGAACCTTCCCTGTGAACTTGGGCAGCTGCAGATGCACTGGTGGCTGGATCCTAGCCTTTGTGGTCACAGCTGGGTCAGCAGCATGGAGCCCCAAGGCCAGTCCAGGGCCTGGCCAGCAGAGCAGCACATGAAAAATTAGAGTGACCCTGAGCCTGAATCCAGGACACACTGTCCTCCTGAGCAGCACATGCTGCTTGGGGCCTCATGGCCACGTTGTCACTCACCCTGTCCCCACAGACCTTAACAGACTGAGGGCAGGGTTAGAGTGGGGGCAAAAAGAGGACTTACCATAGTCTCCACCCTCCCAATTGTTCAACACTCTCTGGGTTGGAGTTCTTAACAATGTTGGATGCTGTTGGAAATCAGGGGAAATAAGGACTTTGACTCAGAAGAATGTTTTCACATATGTAAACTGAAATAAGAGGACAAAGGAAAGCAGTGTGAGAGAGGCATATGGAGTCTCATGCACACATGGAGGGATGTATTCTTGCAATGCAGAGGTCTGAGCAGGTGTAATGGTGGTGAGGTGTCTGGAGATGGTGGAGAGGCACAAAGGACTCGTGACAGTGATGAGGACAGGGATTCCTCTCGGAGGGACCTGGTGAGCCACTGCTTGGAAATATGGAGAACAGGTGTGCTAATCAGGTGAGGCTGGGCCTTGGCAGGAACACTGAGCCCTGGTGACTCCTGCTTTGTCTCTTAGAGTCCTTGCCAGCCGCAGATGGGGACAGAGTTGGCAGTGAATCCCTGGTCCTTTTCTCAGGGCCGGCGATGGGAAAGTGAGGCCTAAGCATTGATTCCCTTGGCAGCGATTGCTGAGGAAGGTCAGGAAAGCCAGTGGGGGTAAGGGAGGCCAGGAAAGGCCTGGGAAGAGGGTGCCTCAGAAGAGTTCCGCTTTGCCCCAGGAAGATAGTGTGCTGGGAGTTCAGAGTGCAAAGGGAGAAGGAGCTCGCTTGTCAGCCCTCAGGTACTCTCTAGGAACATCTCTGGCAGAACTGTCAGCAGGGAACAATACTAAGAGACGCCCTGAGGGATCTCCTGTATTCCGGATGTGCGCTTCCTTACCTCCACTGAGAGTCCTAGGCCCAGCTCCCCTCGGCAGACAGACCAGTTGTTGGTAGGGAAAAATGTGTTCAACAATGATTCCAGGAGCATGTCTGCATGGCATTATTTTAGGTTCCAGGGGACACTCGATTCTGTCCTCAGATTCAGCTCATGCCTACTCGGAGCCATCCTAGAATCCAGGTGAGCCCAGAATGACCACAGGGTTGGTAGGAGGTCAGCCTACCAGGGCTTAGAGAGCTGGCTGGAGAGAATCTGCTGAGCGCGCCAGCTCAGTTCAGATACAGTGACCTGGTCAGCAGGAAACAGGGAACTGAGTCTGCTATGCGTGGGCCTCCGGGACTAAGCTGAGGGGTTGTGATCACTTATGGCTGGAGAGAGCAACAGCAGCAACAGCAGCAACAGCAGCTGTGCCCATTTATGACGCACTTACATTGCACCAGGTGCTGTGCTAAGCACTTTCATACCTGCCATCGTTCAACCCATAACCCTCCAGGTGTAGGCTAGTCAGAGCTCCTGCTTTCAGATAAGGAGACAGACTTAGGGTAAGTCACTTCTGCAGGCCTGTGGGAGGACCTGCGTCAGATCCTCCCTCTGAGCATCACACACGAGTATGGGAAAACAGAACGCGAAGAACCCAAAATACAGAACACCAGTGTCATCAAGGCCAGCAGCTTCTAGCAGTCAGATTTTGCACTGAGGGAACCCAGGACTCCAGTGGCCTTGGCTAAGACAAAATATGGCCATGCTGGACTCCGAGTGTGAGGAGCAGTAAGTGGGTGGTGCACCTGATGCCTCCCAGCAGCTGAGAGGAGGCATCTGTGGTGGGAAGACCATCCGAGGCATCTCCAAAGGACTTCCAGGACCACGATGGGAGCTCATGCTGTGCAATTTGTCGTGTAACACAAGCCAGCTATGTACAGAAATCATGGGGGGTGGGGTGATTTCCCATAGCTCATCTAATCTCCCAGGGTCTGTTCTTGCCCCTAAAAAATGAGCAGGATAATGTTGACTTCCCCACTTGGCCATAAGAATTAAATGAGATGACAGAAATAAGGCAGGATAGTGCTTGGCAAACCATAGGTGCTCAATAAATATACATTTTTCTTCATTCTCCTTCAGAAGAGTTTTTCGAGGCTGTGCAGATCTTTTTGAAGCTTTATGTAAATTTATGTGAAGTGACATTCAATGAAATCACTCATCTGTATGATCCCCTTAAAACTACCTGCAGCTTCAGTAAAATTGAAATTTAAATTGTACATTTTATTTAATGGTACAACTTAGATGTCAAGGGAAGAAAAAAGAGAGAGGGGGAAAAAAACTGTATTAAGAAGAAAAGACCTTGGCACTAAAAATAACTACTTGAAGGGTGAAAGAGCTTTTGTTAAATGGACTCTTATCCTTAAAAATGAAAAAAACCAAATTAATCCTAAGATTTAGATTCAAATCAGGTTTTGAAAGAGAAAATGGCCTCCATTTGGGGTCTTCCATTCCATATTAAAGTTCTTTTTGTCTTATGATTTTCCTCCACTGTTTCTCCTGTATCTTATTTTTTTCAGTTAGCATTATCTTACTACATGAATATATTGAAGATTATGTATAATGATTAATTTTATAAAGCCAAATCTTTGGATTATTCTGGTAAAATTTTTTCAGGCTATAGATCTAAGTACTTGAAAAAAGATGTCCGTCTACATTTAAAAATTCATTCATTCATTCACTCATTCACTCATTCACTCATTCATTCATTTTTTGTAGTAATGGGTGTTGAACCTAGGGCCTCTGCACTGAGATACATTCCCAGCTCATTTTTTTTCTTTTTTTTTTTTTTGAGACAAGATTGCTAAGTTGCCCAGGCTGGTCTCAAGCTTATGATCCTCTTGGCTCAGCCTCCCAGAGTATACATGTATGTGCTTCCATGCCAGGCCAAAACAAGACAAAACAAAACCAAAAAAAATTTAAATTGACATTGGATTTAACATTTTTTGTTTTATAGAACTCAGGTCCTTGCGCTTGCGCAGCAGGTGGCGAAACCACTGAGCTAAATCCCCGGCCAGATTTAACATATTAAAAACACTTACTGAATAAAAAACCACAAAACCCACAAATAGCTAGGCTGCTGGTACATGATTGATAATGCCAGCACTTGGGAGGCTAAAGGAGAAGCTCAAAGTCAGCCTGGGCTACATGACTCTGTCTCAAAAAATAAAAACAAAAGCCCAGCATGCCAGCGCACACCTGTAATCCCAGCACTCAGGAGGCTGAGGTGGGAGGATTGCTGTGAGTTCCAGTCTAGTCGGGCCACCTAGTGAATTCAAGGCCAGCCTGAACTACATAGCGGGACCCAGTCTCAAAAAACCAACCAACCAAACCAAACCAAACAAAATTTGCCCCCAAAAAGCATAAACAAAAATAAAATATAAAAAATTATAAAGAGAGAAGTAAAAATTGTCCCAAATCCCATGACCAATGATAGCCAAATTAAATTTGTAAAAGCTCTCTGTGTACTGAGGATACTGACCTTAAATAGGTCATATATGTTTGTATGTGAGTATAAATTCATAATTTTCCCTCTATCATTCAAAATATTAAATGGTACACATCTTTCTAGTGAGAATCTTTCTTTTTTGTTTCTGAAGATCAAACCCAGGGCCTCATGCATATTAGCTAAGTGCTCTACTACTGAGCTACAATTCCAGCTGGAAACTTTTCTTTTTTCCGCTACTGGGGATTGAACTCAGGACCTTGTGCTTGCCAGGCAGATGCAGCGCCACTGAGCTACATCCTTGGCTCCTGACACTTTCATTTTTATACACAAAATCTACCACTGCTTTCTGTTTGAAATTTTTGTGTTAGAAAGGTCTCTCCATCCCCAAATTATGAGCAATTTCACTTTTTTTTTTTTTACTACTTTTATAGTTTCATTTTTATAGGAACTTTTGATGATATTTGTGGATTTTATTTGCTATAAAAAGAATGAGGTTTGGATCCAGGCTCACTTTTTCCAAATGGCTAGCCAGTGTTTTCCATCACCATTTTTCGAGTAATCCATCTCTTCTGTATTGATTTGAAAGATTTTCTTCATAATGTATTTAATTTCCATATGTATGTGGAACTATACCTGAGTTTTATACTCTTATCCATGACCTATCCGTCTAATCTCACAACTTTGTGACTGGGATGGTTATTAAAAGACACTTTACTATCTGGTAAGTCAGTTTTGCATGCTAATTTGGGGGAGTAAAAATAATTACCACATTTTATGAACAAAGTCCTTTATGAAACCATATTTAAACATCAAATACTATATATAGAAGAAAGGGAGGGAGGGAAAGAGGCAGCAGAAACATAAAAAGGGAGAAAGGAAGGGAGGGAGGAAAGGTAAGTGGCCAGAAGAGAGAAGAGACAAGAAGGTAGAGAAAACAGGAAAAGAGAAACCACATCCCTTTGTCTAAGATTAAAGGAATGAAGGTTGAAAGGATTACTGCCTTATATCAGAATTGCTATCTGAAATTGGCTTCCAGTGAAATCAAAACAGAAAGGAAAAAAGCAAAAGTCCTTTAAGTTGAAATATAATGTTAAAGAACTGGCACAATTCCTCCCTGAAGAAAATTGTCCCCTCTGGAAATGAAGGAGCTAGGTCTATGTACGAGTGGAAGATAAATAAATAAAAGAGATTACACCGTAAAGAGAGCCCTTGGAGGTAGTCTCTTCCCAGTGGTCGGATGCCCGGGAACCTCTGGAAGGATGGCAATGCCTCGGTTCTTGCCCAGCTTGAACATGTGGGGGAAATGTCATTCTGCACACAGCTGGCAGTGGAGAGCCCCGCTGCATGGCAGGCCTACATCCAGAGCCTCATCTCCTGGCGACACAGTGGAGGCCTGAGCCTGCCAGAGCTCCCCAGCCAACTGTGCGCAGCCCAGAGTCCAGGGGTGTGGGGGCCGCTGCCGAGCAGAACAGACTTCCGGGTCTGAGTGAATTACTCGGCAACACCTCACCAGTCAGTCCCTGAAACTGTTTCATCTTCTGAGATGATGCATTTTTTTCTCTAACTCATTTATTCAAAAATGTCAAAACTGGATGTAGCATTTTTTCCCTCTATGTGACATAAAAAGGCTGCATGGGAGGAACCTGGATACAAGTTGGGCCCCTGGTTGGGAACAAGGTCATGATTTCTTGACAGTGACTAAGAGGAAGATGGGCTTTGATGACAGGGCTCCCAATTTGTACTCCAAAGATGTGGGTCTTCTAGGTCCTCATGGTCATCACAGCCTGGTAGGAGAGACAGATGTTAGATTCGTAACTGAGATCAGTTAGATGGGAGCAGCATACTGTGGAAAGTACAGGACCCTATAAGGTGCACAGTTTTGTATAAATCAAAGTGTGCAAATGGTGAAAAATTCTATAAGAATGCACAATAAACTACTAACTACCTCTGCGCGACATAACAAAGGTCTCCTAACTTTCTAAGGTATATAGATATTTAAATGTCTTGCAACCAAGCTATATGTGTACTTATACAAATGCAGATATTAAAAACTAAAATGGTTTTAAAATGTTAAACACTTTTAAGGTCAATTAATATTCTTGACTTTGAATGGGCTTTTCTTCTGCCATCTAGTTTTGCTGTAGTGACTTGAGGGGAGACCAGCAGATGCCTTTGTGTGAGGTCTGCTCCTCCACGGGAGCAGAAGTGAGCATTCCACGGGCAGGGGCATCCTGTGGACTGAATGAGGCACCCTCTGAAAACCTTGCAGCACCTTTCCATGCCAGTCCTGGACTGAGCTTGGCGAGGACTGACACACAGGAATGACTGGGAGTTAAATATAACCAGTAAAGGGGGTAGCCTCGACCAAGCAGGCGGCAGACCACAAGCCTTCATTCCTGTGCAGTCAGCGTCTCTTGTCTGTCGGCAGCAGCCCTGTGCAAGGTCACCTCATTCCATGCAGAAGCCCTGCATCCTCCGCTCCCAGTGGTGCACACTGTCCGTGGCCAGCTCTGTCAGAAGTGTGGCAGAATGCACGAATTGCAAGCCACAGCTCTTCATTTTAAGATGAGTAAGCCAGGGCTTTCCCCTCCTTCGTTTTCTTTTTCTGGCTCTGAATAGGTCTGTGCGTACACAGCAGATGGCTTTCTGATGAGGCCCAAATGCATCCAGTCTTTGGGGAAAAAACTACAACAAGAAGGGCTGTTATTCCAATCTGATAAGGCTTTCTATTTTCAGCTAGAAAAATGAGTGTCTGTAAGTAGAAAAGGGCAAAAAAATAGGAAAGTGAAAGGAACAAAAGCAGTCAATACTTCCCTTGCCAGGTGGATATGGGGAGTTTTTAAGTATGCAGATCCTGTCTACCTCCAGGCACCGTTCTCTCCCATGGCTCCAAAGCTATGGAATAAAAACATTCAAAGTGGTGAAATACAGACCCAAAGGTTGGGAGGGGACAGTCAGCTTCAGGACAGGGGTTCTGGCTGAGGAGAGCTGGCAGGGATCCAAAAGGGGACGCATTAAAAGGGAGCTTCCAAATGTTTCTATAACTCTTACTCCTTAGACATTTTTTTTTTAGACATTTTTTTTCTTTAAAAAGCAAATGAGTAGTGGGTAACTGGGCATTTTTTTAAAAAATCATTAAGAGCATGGACTATGGAACAAGACCACTGGGGTTAGGATACCAACTGTTCCACTTACAAATGGCATAACTGTAGCAAGTTACTGTACTGCTCTGTGCTTCAGTTTTCTCATCTTTAAAATGGGGAGGATAATAGAAGATATCATATAGGGCTGCGGTGGAGATTACATGATTCCACTTATTCGTTCAGTAAGTATCTGTTAAGGGCCAACTATGTGCCAGACACTCTTCTATGTGGCAGGGACAGAGCAATGATCAGTGCACACAAAGACCTGTATCTTCAGAGAGAGAGAGAGCGCACAATATTACACACACACACACACACACACACACACACACACACACAGAGCAATATTCCAGAGACAGAGAGCACAATATTCCACAGAGGGAGACAGACAGAGAGCAAGAGAGAGAGCAATATTCCACACAGAGCGAGAGAGCGCAAGCAATATTCCACAGAGAGAGAGAGAGAGAAATATTCCACAGAGAGCTCAATATATCAGAGAGAGACAGTGAGAGATCAATATTCCAGACAGAGAGATCAATATTCCAGAGAGAGAGAGCAATATTCCAGAGAGAGAGAGAGAGAGAGAGAGAGAGAGAGAGAGAGAGAGAGCAATAAGAGGCTAAATAATACAAAATATAGTATGTTAGATAGGGATGAGCCCTAAGGAGAAAAAATAAAGCGAAGAGAGAAGGGTCAAGGAGGTTGAATGTTTTAGGCTGGGCAGCCAGGGAAGGACTCACTGAGAAGGTGACTTTCAGGTGAAGCTCAAAGCAGGTAGTCACTGTTAGGTCCCTGGAAGCCATACACAGTGCTGTGGCTTTTATGATCTATATTTGAAATCTGTCTAATTTTTATGCTAATAGTAAAACTTGTTAAATGGCCAAGCAGAAGGGTATATGGACATGTTGAAATGAGTGGGAAAAAATAGCAGAATCTTCAGAGCAGTTTAGAAATCTGGCCAAGAAGTGTGGGGGACAAAATTCAGCCACAAAGCAAATAATTCAAGGTAATTTGTATTTTAAAGAAAAAGGCATATTAAATAAAAAGCTACAGTCATCTTTAAAATTGGGAAGAGAAAACTACTGAATGCAGAGAACTTGGAACGGATAACTATTCAATATATAGAGCAAAAATGTAAATGGGAGAATTCTAAATTGCAGTCTTGTTAAGAAGGAAAGAAGGGTAGAAAATGTAATGAGAGATAAAAATTGAACAGGGCAGTGAAAGAGATATAGAAAATGAACAATATAAGCAGGCAAGCCGACACATCCAAAAATAGGTAGAGAAAGAAAATATAAAATGACAAAAACACAAAAAGATGCAGCAAGATAAAAGGATTAGAGCACATTTCTTGGAGTCTACTAATCTCATCTTTTGACTTCTGTGATGTAATCATTAAAAACTAAAATTAATCCAAGCATGGTGGCACATACCTGTAATCCCAGCAGCCTGGAAGGCTGAGGCAAGGGGATCGAAAATTTGAGCCCAGTCTGAGAAACTGAGTGAAATCCTATTAAAAAAAAATGCAGCTTACTCAGGTGGGCAGAGAGAGAGGTCCTTGGCCTCCTGGAGCCCCGCTCCATCCAAGCTGTGCCATGACCACTGGCGAGGGACAGTGGGGACCCCTCACCACTCACCACACCCACAGCAACCAGCTTAGCTGCTCGGGCACCTG